GAGCCTCCCACACCTCTCCGACGCGCTTGATAATGGGTGGCGTTATGGGGAGACGAGTGTGTGTGGAGGTGGGCGTCCTTGCTTGGGTAGCTTTGATGCCCCTAAGTACCCCCTCAAGCTTTGGCATGCTTGGAATTCCTGGATCCGGCAGCCCTGTTGCTATCTGTAGGTGACGGATTGCTGATAGATAGCCCTTTATTGTGGAGTGCACGAGATTCTCACTTGCTAAAAATGATGCGTATCGGCACAGTTGGTGCTCAGTTGCTGGGAGTGGTGCCAGTCCGACAGCAGTGCAAAATCGTATATATCGTTGCTGTGCAGAAGTGTATGTGCGTTGGGAGTTTGGGGCTATTGCAGACTGAAAATAGTGCTCCACAGCCTGGTCCAGTGAGGTGAGGTCCAGTCTGGCTGAGAGGTGACTAAGAGCTCCTCCAGTTCTAGGGGCACTGACGTTGGGGAGGCTTGAGCCTGTGGATAATGCGAGAGGAAATATGCTCTGTTGTTCCGAGATAATGCATCCGCTAAAACGTTGTGGGATCCCTTAATATGGGCTGCTGATACTACGAAGTTGTACTTTGCCATTATAAATGAGAGGCAGCGCATTAGATGCATCAGGGTGTTCTCCCTGCTAGAGCCTGAGTTAATCAGTGCCACTACTGCCGAATTGTCGGACCAAAAACGCACCGACTTTCCTAGCCATTCATGCCCCCAGAGGGCTGCTGACATGACTATTGGTATCATCTCTCTGATTGAGATGTGTGAGGCTTTCATCGTTTGTGGCCATTTCAACTGTAGCCACCTGCTTCCCTCGTAGGCCCCACATCCCCAGGTGCCTGAGGCATCTGTCGTTACTGACACCTGGGGGTTTGCTTTGTCGAACCGCACCAGCATGGAAGTACCATTCCATTGGGTGGCAAATACTGACCACCAGAGGATATCAGACCTCGCCGAATTATTGAGGCGGACAAAATTGTCGAGGTTTTTGACTACTGTTGACAGAGTAATGAGCCGGCGTAAGAAAGAGCGCCCCTGACGCACCGCCTTGGAGGCATGTTGCAGGTAGCCAATCAGGGACAGCAGCTCCCTCTTTTTGCCTGCCTTACGGCCTTCCCATTCTGCTAGTAGCTTCCTCAAGCGTTCCAGTTTCTCAACTGGGAGCCGGATTTCCATCTTGTGTGTATCCAGTTCAATGCCGAGGAATGTGAGCACTTGGGCAGGACCCTGGCATTTGTCCTCCTCTAGAGGGGTCCCTGTGACCTTGCAAACCTGAATGATGCCCTGCAGGTTGCACTGACATTGGTGAGAACTGGGAGGCCCCAGTGTGATAAAGTCGTCTAAATAGTGAAACACTGGGCGCACCCCCTTTTCGGACATCATCCATTGGAGAGCATCAGCTATGGCTGTGAATATGAGTGGAGCTGAGCGTAACCCAAACGGCAGCACTTTGTCTATGTATGTCTGCCCCTCCCATTGCACTGCCAGCAGATGGCGGTCATCGGGGTGCACTGGTACCATGCGATATGCCTGCTTAATGTCTGTCTTAGCCATGAGAGTCCCCTGTCCTAGTCGCAGGATCTCATCTACAATTTGATCCACTGTTATGTAGGACACGCTGCACATGTCCCTGTCTATGCCATCATTTACACTGGCATTGCTGGGTGAGGACAAGTCTACGATCAGGCGCCATTTTCCTGGCTTAGCTCTCTTTGGGATTACTCCGAATGGGCTTATGTGACACTGAATGCTAGGAGCTTGTGATGGAGAAACCACCACCATGCGGTTCAGCAGTACCTCCTGTTGGAGATAGTCTCCGACCACATCTGGGTGCTGAAGGGCGGACACCATGTTGGTCGAGCAGCTAGACAAGCTCTTAGAGTGGTCGTAGCCAATGCGGAAGCCCCTCTTTATGCCATTTACCACGTAGGCTGCAAAGGCACGGTCGGGATGGTTCGCCAGCTCTGTCTCCCATACCTCACTGATGAGTGGGGTGGTTATCTCCACCATTGCTGCAGGCAGGCTCACTGCTCTGGTGGGCTTGCCGGCTTGCAGCCCCTCGAGCTGTTTGATGTATGAGGGGCCCCCCCTGACCTAGAGTGGATAGCAGCCATGTGTAATAAATGTCAAGTCCACGCCCCCCCTCTCTGTATATACTAGGGATTGTCATCCGCTTGGCATGCATTGCCTGCGTTCGTGATAGCCCCCAGATAGCAATATCGGGGCCGCCAACTGGCCATTGAGTAATGGGGGTAAATAAATGCAGGATAAATGCTCTGATGTCTGGTCTTTGCGTCCTGCCCGGCTACTGTTGTCTGGGTTTTGGTGGAGACTTCGCCTTAGGACACTTCAGCGCCCCATGATCCGTCGCCCGGCAGATCGAGCACTCATGGGTATATGCACATGACTCCCCATGAGGGCAGCTCAGGTAGTGGTACTTGTTCCATTTGCGGCACGCCTCTTCTGAGTGAAAGTGTGGGCGAGGTTTCTTTGATGGGGGCCCCCGGCTTTGCCAGTGGCCTCTTTGAACCGAGGTGTTCGTCTTGGGAGCGGTAGGGGCACGTATGTTTGGTGTGGTCCATGGACGTGCAGATGGAGCACCAACCCTCCGCGCTCAGCGACATCCCCGTGAAGCACTGGGTATGGATGCTGCTGTCAATCTTCGACCAGTCTGTCCTGCCAGTGTCTGCTGCCTCTTGGCGAAAATACTGGTCATATATTATCCAAGCTGGCCAGCGAAACTTCTTGCTCAGACGTGCGATTATGGCCGCGTACATCAGCAATGATTGGGCACTTTCTGGATGTTTGGTTAGCAGGACCGCCGAGTATATCGCGAAGCACTGCATCCACGTAGCAAGGTCGGGGATGTGCTTCTTGGAGTGGACGTAGTCCGCTGCCTGGAGCAGTACAATTTTGCCCTCTACGTCACTCGATAGGGCCGCTGGAGTTTTACCAAAGCCTCTGGCCGGGGGGAAGTTCCCCTAGGTCTGTGAATCTTCCCGCCAGGATCAAGTCCACCAGGGACCGCTTTAAGGCCGGGACTCCTGGGGCCACCACAATGGTGTCCATTGCTTTGGAACTGCCCGCTGCTCCTGCCATAGCTACACCCATGGCTGCTGGTTGCATTCCACCCGCCAGTATACTTGAGAGTGTGGTGGAGGCTGGTGTAGTTATTGCGCCATGGACTGGAAGTCCCGCTGTACCAGCTGAGGATGGCTGCAGGGGAGTGGAGCTGGTACTTGGGAAGCTCCCAAGCCCCAAGCTGCCCAAAGTGCCACTAGTGGGCATGGTGCCCAGTCCTCCTGCTCTTGCCCCTACAATAAGGGGGGGCAGTAAGGACTTCTGAGGATGGTATGTGCCGTACTTAAGGCGCTGCAGCCCGAGTGAGTGGGGTTTGGCCGACCTTTGACTATAGTGCTGGTCTGCCGTTACACTGCAGTAGTGCCCCCAAATGCAGCCGTGCGCTGCTAGAGCATGGCTTTGAGCCCAAGAGCTTTGGATTGCTGTGGCACTGACCGCCCTCAAGGTCCGAGGGGCCGCGTATAGCTTAGACCAGCACTGCCCCCTTTGGGGAGCTTGGTCTGCAGTAGTCTGTCACCAGCTCTGCCCTGGCTTGAGGCCCTTGTTCCAGGCCAGCGTCTACTTCAGATGCAGAGCCAGGCTGCCTTCCATGACACGCCCCCAGGAGCTTGGTTTATAGTCTGCTTTAGGCCAGCAGGTGATATGGTGGGCTTATCAGCCCAGCTGAGTAAGTGTGGTATGCACAGCCCGCCCCCTGCCACGCCTTGCTGGAGTGGAATGGCAGGTGGACATGACTGATAAGGCAGGCTTTGATTGCCTTAGCAACTGCAACCTGTGCCACTGTATTTTGCCCCGAGCTGGTCCCGTCTTATCTGGCAGGTGCTGAGCGAGCCCTACACACTGCCGTACTATAATATATTGGAATGCCCAGACTAACCAGGGTAGCCCTCCGTTCTCCGCATATGTCACATTCCGGGGAATGGAGGGTGGAGAGGGGACTGGGCTACCCTAGAGTTTCTAAAGGGGAACCTACCCACAGAGGACGCTGGAGTCCCTGGCGTCGTGAAGGTGCTCCCTCCTGCACTCGCCGCGACCGCTGCTGTATGCGTGCGTCCACGGACGCCATGATCGGCGGGGCAGCGAGCTGGAACGGCGGCCTGGACCGCCTGGTCCAGCATCGACTGGAACGAGGTGGCGGAAACAGCTGCTGGTGCCGTTGAGGAGGTAGTAGGCGGCCGACCGGAGGTGAGGATCGTCGATGTAGAAACGGATCCCGGCGTTGTCGTGCTCGTGGTCCCGCTGGACGTAACTGGTGCACCCGACGATGCCATCTCCCTGATCCAGCCGTGAAAATTGCGTGAAAATTGCTCAGCTACCTGTCTGCTCACGGATATGCTAGGAAATAGTGCGACTAAGACCAAGGCCTCCAGTTGTGTCTCAGCTCCAGAAACGGACATGCAGGGTATACTGTGGCTTCTCCCAACTCTCCTGAGCATACAATATCTAAAGCCTTGGCCCAAGCCTGTCGCTCAGCCCTGGCTTCTGCCTACGCAGCATTTCCATGTCCATAGGATGAGCAGAAGCACACTGCACCCGTTCTCTAACACATGATCCCCACATAGTTGGTTGATTAGAGTCCAGTGTTTTACAGACTCCCTAATACACCAATGGGAACCACACCAGTTGGTACATAGTCTTGACAATGATGCCAGTGTGACATGGTGTATTGGCAGCCTTTTAGCATGGGTTAAAATATCTATTATGTTGTTTATACTGGTCACGTCAACCCTGTAGCACCATTAGTGCAATGGACACTAAAGTAAGTGAATGCTGCTGCCCTATTCTTGTATTGAGCACATCAAACATGACATGTATACATGTCGTTGTGAAACTATTTTGAAGGGGGTGAGCTAGGGAATAGGAATTCTAAATTTTCGCAGGTTGTTTGTAAAAGAAGCCCCTCCTTTGAGAACAATTTTTAAATTATAATGTTTGCTCTGTTGCAAGCTCCCATTTATGCACTCAGTAATGATAGTGATGTTTGAAACTCTGTGTTCTTCAGCATTCCCTTTTCTCTGTCATGACATGTAGGTGAGGAAGGGGGGGTTGCAGTTAGAGTTGAGGCAGTGTAAAGATGAGGAGAAGAGGAGAGAACTGCAGGGGAGATTAAAAGAGTATGATGAGGTAAGTATCAATGTTATTATGTACAGACCCAGTGTTTCCCGCAGCATTATAACAACTGGGCGCTCCGCCAGGATTGAAAAATCCCGAAAATGGGCGTGTACAATTATTGCGCATGTGTAAAATGCAACTAGCGCGGTTACACTGTGCGCAGTAATGCGCTGCTTATAGAGTAGCACTAGAAAGGCTTTAGGCCAGTAGGGAGTTTCCCAATAGGAAGTGCTTTGAAATGTGAGTAGCAAGTAAGTTTTTCAGCCTGAAAGCTGGGGTAATTAATAATTCATAAGCACCCTGTTTGAATATTACCCTGTGGGAAACACTGCAGACCTGTTGATTACTATTTGCAGTTATACCATGATTTGGCCCATAAACGAGGTTTCTGATTTACCGTATACGCCTCGAATTTTACAGAATTAACACGAAAACTACATGAAAACAAGCCATTTTACCAAAAAAAGCTAATATCATGGTATAAATAGTTGTTTTTACACCTCGTTTCTGCTCTCAGTTCTAACAGTTGTCGTATAACGAAATAGAGCCCAACCATGTACACAACAGTATTTAGTAGTGTTTGAGGAATGTGGTCTTCCAATTCCCCCCTCTCCCAAAGTTGGTCTTCTTCCGACTCGGTGATTGGCTCGGCCTGCCTTTTTTTGGAACCAACTCCTTTTTTCTGTATTCTTCTCATTTCTGCGTCGACTGCCATTCACAGCTCTGCAAACTGAGCATCTTTGAAATGAATTATAGGATTCCCAGTTGTGCGAAAGTGACGAGACAGACCAAAGAGGATGTGCAGTAGGGTGTTCGGTGAATATTCTTCGCCATTTCGCTTGCGCAGCCTCTCGGGTTTCTGATTTGTAGTATTTACCTCGGACCCATAGTCTAACCTAGGCTTGCTTTGCTCACCAATTAAGATTTGAAGTGGACCACAGGAGAAGTTCCTAACCAAATGTTACTAATGTCCTTTCTTCTCTTGCACCTCTAGGAGTCAGAGACACTGAAAAGATTGCAGAAAATAGTGGTATGTACAATATATACAGCTTTGTGAAGACCATGTCCGTACTGGTTTGGAAAGTTTGGGCGGCAAAGTCAGTACATTATTGTCAAACTCCAGAACCAAAACTGCTGCCTGTTCTTGTATTGAGCACATCAGACATGACATGTACACATGTCGTTATAGTGAAACTGTTTGGAAGGGGAGGAAAATAGGAATTAAGTGTTCGCAGGTTGTTTGTACCACATGTGAAACCTAAACCTCTCAAATTTAATGTTTGCTCTGTTGCAAGTTCCCATTTATGCACTCAGTAATGATAGTGATGTTTGAAACTCTGTGTTCTTCAGCATTCTCTTTTCTCTGTCATGACATGTAGGAGAGGAAGAAGGGGTTGCAGTCAGAGTTGAGTGAGTGTAAAGATGAGGAGAAGAGGAGAGAACTGCAGGAGAGGTTGAAAGAGTATGATGAGGTAAGTATCAATGTTGTTGTACGTTGATCACTATTTGCCATTGTATATACCAATTTCAAAATTTCCTTGTTGGCGAGCGGAAGCGAGCCAACCTAGTCGTTCGTTCGAGCGGAATTTTCTGTATATAATTATTATATTTATCGTCGTTCGTACGTCGTGTAAGTGCGCATGCGCGGCTTTGTACGCGCTGCCGAGCGCATTAGCGCGAGGCAACTACTCCGGGTTGTATTCTCGCGATATGCGTACGTACGTCGTCAATTAGTCACGCTTAGGAATGTCAATTAGTTACCAAAAGGAAGTGTAACTTCCGTCATTCGTAGGAAGTCTAGCTTCCGCCGTGCGCACAGATTCGTAAGAAGTCTGGCTTCGCGCGCAGTCAGTAGAGCGCGCACACGAGCGGCCTCTCAATCGGACTGTTTACGCATTGGCTGACAGGCGCGAGGCAAAATATGCACGTGCGCATTCCTAGTATATACTTGGATGCAGAGGTTACTTTATTATGTCCAAAGCCATGACCTATACACACCATCATATTTATGTGTGCAGACATGAATCATGTGCGAGCAAGGCATTGTACAAAGCAATGATCCAATCAAAGAAAAGAGCTGCCCTTGGTGTGACCTGAACCAATGACAGCTTATGCAGAGTGCTCTACACTACATGATATTAATTGCTACACAAAGCATGCTAACACGTAAGCCTTATGTTGGAGCCCAAATCCCACGATTTCCCCACTGCTATTTCCCTCACATTCAGACGGCTAGGCAGGCTTGCTTCACTCTCCAATTAAGATTTAGGGTAAATTGAAGTGGACCACAGGGGAATTTCCCAACCAAATGTGTAGCATAATTTTTACTAATGTACTTTCTTCTCTTGCACCTCTAGGAGTCAGAGTCACTGGAAAGACTGCTGGAAATAATGGTATGTACTTTGTGAAGTGCGTGTAACCATGTCCATACTTGGTTTGGGAAGTGTGGGTGGCAAAGTCACTATGTTACTGTCAAACTCCATAACCAAAGCTGGTCCTCCCCATTCCCTCCGAGTACTATTGCCAGTGGTCATCCTCACACTCCAGTCATGTGGCTGCCAGTGTTAGGTTTGCTGTAATGTCTTCTCTGCTTCTCCTACATGTATACAACTTCTTTGTGTTGAGGGAAGGCCCCAATTTCTTGTTCATAGCCCAATGCTCTTTTTAGTATGCACTGTATTGCATGCCTCTTGTCACCGAGGAATTCCAGGACCTCAGACACCAGCACACCAGTATCCCGATAAGACATTCGTTTGTGTAGTACCTCTATCAGGCCATGCTATAGTAGACCACAACTAGCTACGATTTTAGTGTGAGCATCTCGTCCTTTGACCTCCTGTCCCTCTGCTATGGGTGAGTGAAGTCGACAGTTTAGCTACTACGTACATGTTTTTCATTGATGTCCTGCTCCTGGATCTATGGCTGTTCTCACAATTGCTGCACGCTACCATGGCTGTAGTGTTATACACACTTGAAGTGTCAATGCATAATGCACTGTTGTGGTTTGTCTGTAGGTAGTTTGATTAAAATATGTAGGAGTAACCTGCTATCTGAACTTTGTGAATGAAAATATGCAGAACTCAACATTCCGCTAGCACCGGTAATAGGCGGAGTTTTTATTCCTGTCTGTCGGTAACATTGTGAACTTGACTCACTGTTTACGTTACACAAAAACTACACAACTCTATGGCACACACCACAGCCCCTACCAGTACTTTGTAAACAAGGCTTAAGTTTTTATCTTCTCACAGTCAGAGCTGAAGAAGTGTGAAGATGAGGAGAAGAGGAGAGAACTGGAGAAGGAGATGAGAGAGTGTGATGAGGTGAATAGTGTTGAGTAGGAACTGGCATATTGTTTATTATTGACCTCTTACTATGGCAGTCACTTAACATAGCTGACATTCAAACACAAACAGTTTTGTGCTAACGTCTGTTGTACAGTGTGTAATTGGGTCTATAATGTAGTTTTTAATACTCTGTTTTGTACCACAGGTTTCAAAGAAACTAAGGAGACAGAACAGAGTTAAGGTATGCCACAAGCAGGATAAGAATTAACTATGGGAATTCATGATCAAGAGATTATTATGCAGTATGCACAGTACTTGGTTGTGTTTGTTTGTCTGTCTGTGTGTCTTCCTACACTTATTCCGGCACTACAGGCTACGAGGTGCAATATGAGTGGTACTAGCAGCTTTAGAGCTACATATGAGGGCATGAAAGTTATTCCTGAAATGACAAGTGAAAGCAGTTGCATATCAGCACTGGCTTTACCGTTACCAGGATTTGTAAGGATGATGTTACTCAGGGGATGTGTATCCATTACTCTAAAGGCTACCAACTGATTCAGCTAGTCTCTGTTTTTGAGCAAGAAACTTGTTGACAGATGTGCCATGGCCTCCAGAGGACACATCAGTTAGCGCGGTGCTTAATTAATGTGCATGAGTATTGTTCACATCCAAACATGTGAGCTGGCACCACGCCTATGAGCACGCATGTGTTTACATGTGCAGTAAATTAAGTGAGGTATGCATTTGAGAGCTATAAAATACCCAAAAGTACACGTCTACAGTGTGACTTTGGACTAAAGAACTACTACATATAGTTCTCCTTGTTGCTAGGACTACGTGTACCTCACTCTATGACTCTCTCTCTCGCCATTAATGCTTTGTGCTTGTTTAACCTAAACTTTCTGACCTGTGTTATTCCT